TTCCCTGATTTCAATGATAACCCTTTAGACTAATATAATGAAGCTTTTAAAAGGGAGTAAAAAGTCAAAATGGTCTCCTTTGACTTTTTAGGTCATTAAGATGACCAGATGACTGGTAAATGATGGTCAAAATTTGGAGTACGACACTCTCTTTCTCACAATTTTACTTTGTTCTTAACAGCATTATCACAATAAAGTGGTGTGATGAGCCGGGATCAAGAGGCCTTTAACAAAGTATGAGATTGAGAAATTAATCGAAGAAAATGATATCAGATTATGGCGCTTGAAGATGCAATCCCTTCTTATTCATCAAGGTCTGGTAGATGCGAAGGGATCTGAAAACATTGTTGATGCCCTAATAAAGAGGAAGAAGATGACGATGATTGAGAAAGCCCATATTGCCTTCATACTGAGCCTTAGTGACAAGATTTGTACATGACCAAGTCTTTGGTCAATCATCTCTACTTGAAACAATATATTTATTCTTTCAAGATGAGGGAAGAAAAGTCTTTACTGAGTAGTTGAATATGTTTAACAAGTTGATTCTTAATCTAGAGAATATTGATGTTAGCATCGATGATGAAGATGAAATATTCTTGCTACTGTGTGCTTTACCCATATCTCATGCTCATTTCAAAGCAACTATCTTGTATGGAAGAGAGCCACTGACCTTTGAAGAAGTTTAATCGGTCTTGTACTCGAAGGACTTGAATGAAAAAAAGGAACACAAGCCATCATCTGTTACTAAAGGATTGTCTGTAAAAGGAAAATTCTCAATGAAGGGTGATAAGTTTGAGAAGAAGAAGAGTAAAGATCAACACAAGTATCATTATGGTAATGCTATTAGGTGTTACCATTGTAAGAAGGAAGGTCATGAAAGAAAATTGTGTCCTGATAGATTGAAGAGTTATGGCAACGACAATGACAATGGTAATGCAACCATTGTTCAAGATGATTACGAATCATCTGATGTTCTGGTGGATTCGAGCAACAATTCTAGCAAGGAATGGATCATAGACTCAAGTTGCACTTGACACATTAATCCAAACAAAGATGTTTTTAAGGAATTATACGATCAAGATGGTGGATCAGTGTTACTGAGAAACAACAAAGCCTGCAAAATTCTAGGGATTGGATCTATGAGATTCAAACTTCATGATGAGTCAATAGATTTGTTGAATGATGTTACGTATGTACCTAATCTTAAGATAAATTTGATTTATCTTGGTGAATTTGACAAGAAAGGATATGTTTTCAAAGAAGAACAAGGTATCCTAAGAGTCATAAAGGGGTCGAAGAAAGTCTTAAGAGGCATCAAGAGGAAAGACTTGTATACTCTTGAGGCTGAGGTTATAAATGGCTCAGTAGATTTTGCATCCACGAAGCCTGTGTCGAAGATAGAGCTATGACACATAATATTAGGCCATGCCAGTGAAAGAGGTCTGGTCGAACTGGGAAATCAAAATCTTCTAGGTGATGACAAGGTCATGAAGCTGGAGTTATGTGAACCTTGTGTATTTGGAAAAGCTTTGTATAATGAAGTTCAATACAAGCAAACAAAAAATACATGAATCTTTTTATTACATTCATGCTGATTTTTGGGGGCTTACACGAAGTCCTTCACTCTCAGGTACAAGATATTTCCTAGCCATAGTTGATGATTATTCATAAAAGTTATGGGTATTGACTCAGAAAACTAAGGATGAAACTTTTGAAAATTTTAAAAGTTGGAAGACTCTGGTTGAAAATCAAACTGGCAGTAAGGTCAAGAGATTGAAGACTGATGACTTCTCGGCAAGTGTACCAATAATGTTGCAGTAATAAAAAAGATTAAATCCACGTGGACTACTATTTAACAAGACAAAATTGTGCAATGCATAAAGAATACTAAATTGGGGGGTTTTCGAGTTTTAATTCCGAAAATACAGTAAAGTGTTTAGACAAATTCACTAAAGCGGCCAAGTTGTGTATAAAATCACCTATTTCTCTATTGTTGATGTTAGATGTATTACATCAATGCTATTGTCACTATAATCTCACAGGGAATTAATAAAACCGGTATAACAAATCCCTTGAGATATAGCTCATTAATCATTACTCGGAGTTTTTTATTCCTAGTCCACCAGCGTAAGCAGAATTAGGCAAAGCAACAAAACGTTAACTCCTAAGCCACTGTCTGGGGTCTCATATCCCTTGTCAACCAGCATAAACACAATAATTGCCCTAGGTCCAACACATAGACTAATGATCAGTATTCTCTATGTGCCCAAAATTAGATTAAAAGAGTACCTTACATAAAAAGCATGAAGAATAAGGTACAATTGATTATAATTATAGATTAAACTACTCATGCAATATCAAATGAAACATATGTCCCAACAATATCAAAATAGGTTCATCAATCACAACCTAACCTAAAGAGATTTAGCTACTTATAATTCAAATTATAATACCAAAATTAATTAAGAAGGTTTGCATATGAGATCCCTTGAAGTATTAACTTCCAATGACTTCAAATACTCTCAAAAATCACTTCTAGTGCTATAAACTTGTACTTTATGTGTAGAAATTTGCAACCCTTGAAAAAAATGCCAAAATTCCCTTTAAAAAGCCTTTAGAATGAATCACAATGCATAAGAAAAGCCCATAAAAAAGGGTCATCACGTGATGCAGCTGTTACTTCCTTATCGTTCGCACGATGTTGCACATGATTATTTCAGTAGTTGCATGCATTTTCTCTTTTTTTCACCTGATTTTCACTAAATCTCTATTTCTCCACACTTAGCTATTTTTCCTCATTCTTTGGTCTTTATTATTCCTTTTTGCTCCTCTTTAACTTGTTTTGATCTGTTTCTTCGACCAAATTCATGTAATGTCAGAGTGTCATCAAGGACCGATGATGACCTTGTGTTCTTCAATGAAGCCTTCAATATTCAATATGTTATGTTTGGTATTTCTAGGCACAAGACTGCAACATGAACTCATTAGCAAAATGGCCTTGCTGAGAGGTTCAATAGTACAATCCTAGAAAAGGTTAAATGGATGTTGGTCAGTGCTGGATTAAATAAGGTGTTTTTTGGATGAGGCTATCGTAACAACACCATATATGATAAATAGGCGTCCCTCGACTACCTTGTGGATGAAGACACCTGAAGAAGTTTGGTCGGGTCATCCACCAGATCTCGACAAACTTAGAGTATTTGGTTGTGTGGCTTATGCTCACTTTAGGAAAGACAAAGTCGAACCTAGAACTATGAGATGCATATTCCTTGGGTATCCTGAGGGAGTTAAGGCTTATAGGTTGTAATGCCTAGAACCTGATCACAAAAGGTGCATAATTAGTTGTGATGTAGTTTTTAATGAAGCGAAGATGACTTTTAAGAAAATTGATAATCGTGTGACTAGTCGAAAGATCTCTAAAGAAAAGGAAAAGAAAAGGGAAGTTCCTATTGAGGCAAAACACTTGGTAAATGAAGTGCCCAAGCATGGTGAAAATCTAGATGAAGTTGCTGAAGAAACACATGATGCTAAAGGAAATGAGAAAAATGTAAATGGCTACCTGCTAGAAAGAGACAGGCTAAGAAGAGTCTTCAAGCCACCTCAGAGGCTTGGTTATTATAACCTCATAACTTTTGCCTTAATTTCAAATGAGTTATGATGAGTCGAAATAAGAAGGAATGGCTGAAAGCCATGGATGATGAGATAAAATCTCTTCATGATAATCACACTTGGAAGCTGATCGAAAAACTTGCTGGGGGTCAGGTTAGTCAGCTGTAAATGGATTTTCAAAGTAAAGGAAGGAATTGAAGGAGTCATGTCAAAGAGATTCAATACAAGTCTGATTACAGTAGGTTTCACTCAGACAGAAGAAGTGAATTTCCATGATGTATTCTCTCCTAGAACTTGAGCAGATGGATGTGAAGATCGATTTTCTATATGAAGATATAGACGAAACAATTCTGATGAAGCAACTTGAAAGGTATGAAGAAAAAGGTAAGGAGGATTATGTGTGCAAGCTGAATAGGTTACTATATGGCCTGAAACAATCTCCTAGGCAATGGAACAGGAGATTCGAAAAGTTCTTGGCACATATAAGTTTCACAAGGAGAAACTTTGATCTTTGTGTTTCTTTCAGCTTCTCACCTGAAAATTTACTTGTCATCCTATTGCTTTATGTGGATGACATCCTCATCGCAAATAACCACATCAAAGAAGTAATGGGGGTGAATGTTAAACTTAACCAAGAATACGAAATGAACGACCTTGGAGCTGCAACCAAAATTTTAGATATTGACATCAAGAGAGATAAAAAGTAGTCGAAATTATGCTTATCTCAAGAGTAATATCTAAGAAAGATTTTCGACAGGTTTGGTATGTCGAACTCAAAACCTGTTATAACGTCAACAACTCAACAATTAAAGCTGAATATAGCTCAAATTCCTAGTACTGAAGTCAAAAAGGCCTATATGAATAACATCCATATGCTAGTATAATGAGTTCTTTGATGTATGTTATATTCTATATCAGGTCAAACACTTTGTGTAAAACATTAATAATTTTATTATATAAAAAATATTGTACACCATATTTAAAAGGTAAACACGATACTAAAAAAAACTCGAATGTTTATTTGTTAGATCAGATTTTTCTGACTTCAATGTAGGATAACTTTGATAATTTTAATTAATAAATTATTCTCTAACATTAATATAATATAAATATATCTTTAATTTATTCATTTTACTCAAAAGCATTTGAAGATGAGATTGTAAATAATTTCTTCTCGCTTTAGATTCTGGGTAAAATTTTATTCATTTTGTTAACTAAAATTAGAAAGTTATGGCTATAGTAAATTAACCATTCCCTTGTTTGTACTAGTGTTTTTGTGGAAAAGAATGTTGTAATTTACCGGGAAAAGATAAAAATTAAAAACGGATAGGAAGATATATATCCATAAGAGCATAACATAACTAAGCTTGTATGAAAAGTCCTACATAAAAATGTTAACTCTCAACATCAAGACATGGAAACTATTACCCTCCACACCTCCACGCTTCACTAACCGCAACCTTCCATCATCTTCCTCAACACTCACCACCACAGTCACCATGCAAAAACCTCCACCCTCCAAACCCCGCAGAAAATCCTCCTACGGAACTTCCCGAAAATCAATTCTCAGAAAAACCTTCAAACAAGAACAAGTCACTTTCACCGCACCTTTCTCCGGCGAACCTCATGTCGCCATCATTGGCGGTGGCATCTCCGGCCTCCTCTGCGCTATCTACTTAGATATACGCGGCGTTCGCTCAACCGTTTTCGATACTGTCAGTTACTAATTTACTTTCTCTTTACTTCGCTGTTTTAATTTCATTCTTCTAAACGCGACCTAACAATGTCGTTTGTATTTAGGGCATTCATGGACTTGGTGGAAGATTGGGAACTAGGGTTATTGATGCTAATGATAAACATTCTTTGATATTTGATCATGCTGCTCAGTTTTTTACTGTTAATGATTCTCGTTTTGCTGAACTTGTTAATGCTTGGGTGGATAAGGGTTTGGTTAAAGAGTGGTTGGGGACTGTAGGAGAGCTTCATAATGGTGGTGAGTTTCTTCCAATTTTACCCTCGACTCCGAGATATATAGCGACTAATGGAATGAGGTTCCTTGCTGATTCATTACTGTCTGAGGTTATTCCTCATTACATACTCATTATTCACCCTTTGTTTTTAACTATCAAGATTCTAATTGTATTGACTGAGTTATGAAAACAATGTCCATAAGAAAACTTTCTGTTAAATTCTGCAGAATTTTGATTGATTTATAGTTTATGAAGGCTTCTTGATGTGGTTTTCACTTACAAATAAGTTCTTATAACATTTTTGTTATTGTTTATAGATTTTGGTTTTTTGGGGGTTCCCATTTTATTTGTGATAAAAATCTGAATCTCTTGCAGAGTCCGTTGGTGAGTGTGGAGAGACCGTGCTGGATCAGTAAATTGGAGCCATTTAATGGGATGTGGCATTTGAGTGAAAATGGGAAACCTTGTGGGAAGTTTGATGCAATTGTTATTGCACACAATGGTAGCTTGATGATTTCTTCGTTTGTTCTCTTCAAAATAATATAGTCAAATAATGTTTCTACATTGTTATCGGTCTTGAGTATTTAAATGTAAACAGTTGTCTGACTTATGGCTTCTTCAGTAACTATTAATCTGTTTGCAAACAGGAAAATGTGCAAACCGTTTGCTTATGACATCTGGTTTGCCATTAATTGCAAAACAAATGAAGGTCAGTCTAAGACATTCCATTTCCAGTTCATTTGGCTTGATAAACTGGTATTCTATTTTCAGCTTTATTTACTATTATACCCGCTCTCGTATTACTTATTGTTTCTGCTGTATTGTCCATTGTGTTAGAGGTTGGAGCTGAGTTCAATATGGGCACTTCTAGCAGCATTTGAGGACCCACTTCCTTTTCCAGGGAACACAGGAATTCCTTTTGAAGGAGCTTTTGTTAGAGGAATTGATTCAGTGTCATGGATGGCCAATAATACCAAGAAACTATTAGCTTCCCAGAATGATAGTCCTCACTGTTGGACCTTTCTGAGCACTGCTACTTATGGAAAACAGAACAAGGTTCCACAGGTAGGTAGTTAAATTTTAAACAATATATGATATTATATTGGGGTAGCACCTATAGACAATATATGATATTGTATTGGGGTAGCACCTATAGACAATATATGATATTGTATTGGGGTAGCACCTATAGTTGAAAAGATGGTGGAAAATTGACTTAGGTGGTTTGGACATGTAGAGAGAAGATTTGTAAATTCTGTAGTAAAGAGAGTAGATCGGATGAAGAGAAGTCAAACAACTAGATGTAGAGGAAGACCTAGTAAAACTATAAGAGAAGTTATTAAGAAAGACTTCGAGATTAACGATTTGAATAGAAGCATGGTCCTAGCATAGAACATTATGACAAAAGTTGATCAATGTTCTTGAGTGTTAGATTTGTTTTGCGGTTACTTTGGATGTTTTTGGAAGGTACAAAGGAGTAGCATATTGGTAGGATTTGATTAATTTACATATTATGACTACCTATGCATTTCCATTCATCGTGCAAGCGATGATTAGCACTTTAATAACTCAAATGTAAACCACATTTCATTTATCAGGAAAATATACCTACTGCGACATCAACAAGGATAAAGGAAGTCATGCTAGAGGGCGTCGAGGCTGCCCTTGGATTGTCAAAAGGGTCACTTCCTAAACCTTTTCATACAAAGCTCCAACTATGGTAAGAGTCAAAGTATTATTATTTGTTGAAATTAAATGTCCTTCAGCCATGGTTTTGGTCAGGTTGGGCTTACATAATTTTCTTATTTTATATGACTTTTCAAATGCACTGTCGCTGGATGATCAAAATGTTAATACATGTGGTTCCTGAGTAGCATTTCTTGTGTGATAGTTTAGTGCGAAAGATATGTTGTCAACAAAGTGGATGGGCTAATATTTAATGTCCTCGGAGTTTCTACAATATTGGTAGCTCCAAAACATTTTGTAAACTTAAATCATTGTAAGATTTGCAGGGGTGCAGCTCTTCCAACTAACACACCTGGAGTTCCTTGCATCTTTGATCCCTTTGGAAGAGCTGGGATATGCGGAGATTGGCTACTAGGTTCTAATATAGAGGCAGCAGCCTTGAGTGGAATTGCTTTAGCTAACCATGTATGCCACTTTCACCTGTCAATTTATGTGGTTTGTTTGCCACAGCTTTTTCTAATTTGCTAATTGGACACCTTCAAATTAGTAATTCAGTTTTATCACATTGTGAATTGCCTTAACAATGTTCTCTTGCCATTCAAAATCGTGTTTGGACATTTTGACTCAGATTGCAGACTGTATCCAAAGTCCCGGAACTGATCCTGAAGAGTTTGCTGTTGGTTTGAATCAAGAGTTTCAACCACTGGAAGGCCATGATATTGGACAATTCCCAGGTTTGAGGTCAGAAGAAAAGATGAATGAAGCCCAAGTATATGAACTTGCCAAGTAGGCTATGGTGCTCTTAAAGCAGGTCACTCCTCTGGTAACAGAAGATTCATTTCATATCCATGCAAAGGAAATTTCCCTGAAAGTAACGTCACTGATCTCAAAGGGAGATTGAACTTGAAACTCAACTTCTCCATTGAGGAGAAAGGGGCCTAATACCCCTAAACAGCTACATGTAATGACAAAAGTTGTAAGTTACTTGCCTCTGTAAAAGAAAGAGATAGTGACATTATTGTATTATTGGAATGAAATTTTAAAAGTCAGCTGTTTTCTTTCTCATCCCTTATTAAAAGTTTTTGTTCTTTAAACTTTTCAGGCTTGGGAAACTTGAATTTGATTAGTTAAAAACTGTATTGAGTGTAGGCGTTTTCTTCAAAATCAGAAACAAAACTTCTTATTCCTCACATTTCTAGGGTGAAATTCTTTCCAGTTTTTAAACAGCATATTTTGTACATATTATAAATAAACTTGAGCATTTCCAAGCAAAATAATACACAGATAAGATATTGGTCTGTATAATATTTGTCAAGCAACAAGCAATTGAGGTGCTTTTTTATACAGAGCTGTAGATATATGAATGATATTTAGATTTTGCACACACTAAACTTGATAGAGTAAATAGAATTTAACAGATGTAGCAACACATAGGAAAGTATAAAAATTATAAAATCAACAGAAACAAGTGATAGAAGCTTTAAATATTTCTAGGCTGTTGTAACTATATTATTATTACTACTACTACTACTACTACTACTACTACTACTATTATTATTATTATTATTATTATTATTATTATTATTATTATTATTATTATTATTATTATTATGTTTATGTTTATTATTATTATTTTTATTATTAGTATTATTATTATTATTTATTATTATTATTATTACTATTATTATTATTATTATTATTATTGTTATTATTATTAGTAGTAGTAGTAGTCATTTTTATTCGGTCTATTAGTGCTTGTACATAATTTGTACTTTATATTATTCCACTTTCACATGAGCAATGCTAATAATAAGTAGGTTTTATTTGCTTAAATTCCATGGCTTCCCTTCAAAGCCTGTTACAAAATAACAATCAAGATAATCTCTCTTCATCTCCCTTTTGAATTAACAAGTTGTGTGAAGATTTTAGTTGGACTCTCATTGGAATCGGAATCGGAATCTTGGCTAAGGTCATGCTGACTTCCAAGGCTCAGGTTCTTATAATGGTTTGCCGTGCTGTTATCTCCCAAGTTAATTTCTTCAAACTCATTTTCTTCAACTTGAGCTGAAGAGTGAGTTGAACCATCCTTGTTTTCTTGCAGGTTGAGAGCAAATTCTAGATTCCACAACAAATCATTCATGGAGGGACGATCAGTTCCGTGATCAGACAAACACTTTTCAGCTGTGTCCACAAACTTCTTCAAGCTTTCTGGATTTATAGTTCCCTTGATATGGGGGTCAATGATATCTTCTATTGTTCCTTTTTTATTGCAGAGCGAAGCCCATTCTGCAAGACTAACTTGTTCCTTTGGAAGGTTAGTATTCAGAACAGGCCTGGCACATAGAGCCTCAAACAGGACAACCCCAAATGAGTAGACATCAGATTTTTCAGTCAATTGTTGCCTCCTGAAGTACTCAGGATCCAAGTAGCCAAAACTACCTTTCACCACAGTACTAACATGGCCAGCGTTCATCTCTGGACCAGTTTTTGACAATCCAAAATCTGATACCTTGGCATTCCAGTTATTATCCAGGAGAATATTTGTTGTTTTGACATCTCTATGAATGATGGTGTACTTGGCCCCTGTGTGAAGGTAGTGAAGTCCTCTTGCAGCTCCAATGCAAATCTCCAATCTTTGCTTCCATGTTAGAATATTTAAAGGCTTGATGCCCTTATACAAATGTTCCCTAAAGGTTCCTAGATCCATGTAGTCATAAACCAAACACATCTCATCATCTTCCTCACAAAATCCTATTAATGATACCAAATGCTTGTGTCTCAACTTAGAAAGCATCTCAATCTCCGTCTGGAATTCATTGACTCCTTGTTCTGATTGTGGATTTGACCTCTTAATTGCCACTAATGTTCCATTATCAATGACTCCTTTGTAAACCTTTCCAAATCCACCTACCCCAATAACCAGGGACTCATCAAATTTTTTGGTTGCGTGCTTTATCTCTTGTAAGGAAAAATATCGACACAGACCTTGAGACATGGCAGCGAGGTTTGCACTAGCAATGCTCTTCGCAGATGTGGATTTACTGTCATTTGTGTGTGAGTATCCGTAAATGGGAAGCCAGCTTGTGTTTGTGGATGACCCTGAAATTCTCTTCTTCTTGTTGAAGACAGTAACGCAGATTGCCGCCATAAAAGCAAAACTTGCAGCACCTCCAGCAGCTCCACCAATGACGGCTTTCCTGTTATATCCGTGTGTTTGGAAACCTTTTTCCGCTTGATCTTCTAGGAGCATGTCTGAAGGCTGAGGATTGGGGCCAGACAAGTCTGTGTCATTGAGCTTGAATATCTCCACCCCATTGAGTATGGCATCATAGAACTCTGGCTTTGTCTCAGGTGCTGGATGCAGAGCAAGCCAAAGTTTTTCATCCCCTTCCCTGTCTTGGACATATATCACATAGTCCTTATAAGTTGGCAGGCCTTTACCTCCTGTCCACCCAATAACATCAGCTTGAGGCTCTGCCGTTTGGTTGTTGATAAGTATATTGAAAACAATCTCGTTCACCTTGGAATAATAATATTCACAGAAATGCAACCTCACGAGGTACATGGAACTTGGATCAACTTGGAAAATCCATGTGAGGTTGTATTCTATGTTCGCGTTCTTATCATTTCCCATTGATCTCGAGGTTGAGTAGACAGTTTCAGGAGCAATGTATTGTGGCATGGTCTCGTAGTTGATTTGAACATCCTTGGTAGCTTTGTTGGTGACACCCGCGGATGCACCATACAGGTAAGGTGTGTCGTCGTACCATATCCTAGAAAGGCCAGAATCTTGGACTGGAGACACATACTGCCCACCAACGTTTAATCTAAACATGGTTTGCAAACTCATGCTTTTGACTTCTACTTTTTGTTCAACATACCCTACCAATGCAGCAGAGTCAAACAATTCAGGAATCGGGATCAATTGAATGCCATTGACAAAAGCAAAAGCACCTTTTTGCTTGTCAGAAGGTTTAAACGTAAGAGTGAAAGTATCCGAATTCAAAGGAGCAAGGGAATACTCTCTGTCAATGTAAGCCAGTGAGAAGGCTTCACAAGTGATGTAAGCACTGAAATTGCTGAGGAGGGTAATCCCATTAGCAGCCACAGAGAAATATGAATCAGAAGGGTTGAAACTGCCATAAAGAGATGGATAAAAATGGAGCCTGAGCCAATAACGTTTATCGCGTTGAATATTGAATTTGTAAGTTGTTTCTGATGTGAAAATTCTAGCTGTCATGTATGGAACCAAAGAAGAGAGGGAAGGTTCTTGGTATGCGGCTTTAGACATGATCGAACCATTGTCTGGTGCTAAAAATTTATTATCAGGACTCCATTGTCTTCCATCAATATCTCTCGCACCTCCTTCATCCAAACCACAACCCAATATCAACGAACCTGGCTCCTCTCTCCATGCACCGTCAATTCCATGCAAGAAAACACAGATACCAACTAGAGAAAATAACAAACTTGCATGCTTATGCATGTTTGAAGAGAAAAGATATAAATATTTCAGGGCATACAGGAAAAAAAATTTTGTCACCACAAATTGTTATAATTTGTGATTCAATAAGGATTTTCCTGTACCCCGAGAAAAGTATGATAGTTTCTTTGTTTGTTCTTTTGTTAACCCCCCATGGAGATTGAAGCAAACTAAACCCAACTAGCTCGAAAGCCAAAATGACATTAAATTTTGTTATGGATTCTAATGTTAGGTGTTTTTCTTCTTTTTCTTTTCCATATTAAAATGGGAGGTAGGGAGGAAACACCGTTATTGAATGAATTGGATTTGTTACAACTTACAAAAGTTGTTTGAATTTCATACTACGCTATATTTACGAACAAATCAGCATAATGCTATTATTATAAACAGTTTAATAAATTTTTAATTCTTATATTTTAATTTATTATTAAATAAAATTACATTAATAATTATTGTTTACTAATTTTCATAAGAGATTTGAATGCTGTGTTTAGTTTACGAAGCCATTTTTTTTCTTTTAGTATGAAAAGTTTAGGTGAGTTGGTTCAAGGGACTCATTAGGATTAGGGTAGGCTTCAAGGTTCAAAGAACTTATAAAAATACTTATAGTCAAACTGTGATAAACTAATGTATCATTTAAAATAACTTAACTTTGATAAACTAAAGTATCACTTAAAGAAAACAAATAGAATTCAACTAATTAGACTTTTTATACATGATTTGAGCATGAATGCACTTCGGAAAATTTTATCTTGCCACCCTCATTTTGACCCGACAACTCTTCATTTTTTATAATGACAAAAATATCTTTTGTATTTTTTGTCATTCAAAAATACCAATTAGGGATTATGTTATGAAGAAATTACATTTTGGCTTTGCGCTTGAGGGTGTATATGTCATTTTGAAGTCAAAATTCAAAATTCAGTTTGCAGATGAATGACTACACTTTCTTGAATAAGGGAAGGATAAAAGTTCAGCACAAGAAATCTTCCATGCAATGAGGGAAACTCAATTTAATGTTGGATTTAAGCAAGTCAAGTTCTCTTCGTACCTTTTTCATTCATAATTTCTGCCCACTCTCTTCTAATCATCATCCTTATCCTCTCCACAAGGATTAACATGAGCATTGAACGAAAAGAGATCAAAGGACTATAGAAACACTCATTGCATGTATGGTACGATGGAATAACAAGCTTGAAAATTGGAATTTCATATAGCAAAAAGGAAGAAATCATCAAAATAATCATAATCATCAATAGTTATTAAGGTGGATTCCCCTCCTTCATTCCTCATTATTTTGGGATTAA